AAGGAAATCCCACCTACCAGTTCCACGGGCGCAAATGGTGCATGAAGACCACTGGAAGCATACAGACCCAAGGAAAGCCAGATCCTGGGAACAGGACAAGCAACATCTCTAACAATGAGAAAGTATGTGGTAGAGACCTGGGACACCACACTGGTGAGCCTCTGGATCTACTGACTAGCGCCCCTTGGGAGGCAGGAGGACAGCAGTACAAACCTGTCTATTAAGCATTACATTTCAGTGGGCATAAGGACAGTGAAAAGGAACTTCCTTCTCATCTTTTCTAAAGCACCCTAACCAACCACTCACAGCCAGTGGGGCAGGAAAACAAGGATTTCGAGCTAAGTGCCTGCCAACCTTCTATAGAGGCACATGCGTTTACTCCAGTGTCCTCCAGAGACTTGATTTCCAGATCATTTCCCTCATTCTCAGCTAAAAGCCTTGCTGTAACAGCTTCTACAGCCTCTTCTGCTCCAAGAATTGTGGTATAATAACAGAGCAGAGAACAGATTCACTGGCCAATTCTCTTTCACTTCACTTTTGGGTAAACAGAATTTCACTATAATCATGATCTTGAGAAGCCAGTTCCCTGGTGCATGTTATTAACACTGCCTTCATCCTCAGAAAGGAAACAAACCTAGCCCCAAGACAGGAGGAAGGAACTAAATGCAGAAGGGAAATTGAGCTACCTAAAAGTCCTTGTTCTTGGCAATAAATCCAGGAACAAAAGATCATAATTATCTAGTTTATTGCTATAAACAAACAATTTTAGTAGTCTAGTTTTTAGGAATTCTTTCCAGGAGATGGCAGTCAAATAACCGACTGAGAATGCAATCCACCCTTTGCACAAAATCCAGGTGGCATGAAGATGGTACTGCCACATCTCCTTCCAGATGTAGTACTATGAAAACAAATTATTACCTGGTAGGAGTTACTATGACCCTCCAAATTGCATTAGCCATTGCTAGTGTAAGCTATCCTTGCGGCAGCCTTGCTCTTCCCTTGTGGATATACCATTTCAGCAAGCCTACACTGACTTTTGGATTCATTTTGAATCTTAAAGCCTGTAAAGATTTGTCTGGTTTCAAATGTTACTGTCAATGCTGAACATGGTTGCACAGTGAACATATCCAGCATACTGGGGGGGGGAAATCAGTCTTGAGAAATACCAGTTCATCACTCTATAAACATGTTTGCGGTGTGCAACAAAGCCGGCAACACGGTGAGACAGCTTGTGTCACATCTTCAGACAATCCTGTTACTGAGGGCAGTTTTTGAGACAAATTTATGGAAGGCCAGAAAAAGGATTATCTTTGTGATACACACTGTTTTGTTTTGGCAATGACCAAAGCGCATTTTCCAGCAATAACCACTATCACACAGGATGAGTTCAGATCATGATTCCTCTAAGAAACACAAAATTAGAGGAAAAAAACCTGTTGGCATTTGAGATATTTAGGCTGACATACTAGAGGATTGTTATGTGTCTCAGGAGAAATGTCTGGCATGTAGTTTATTTGCTGCCAGTAGTCTTTTAAAGGATGCAATCAAGTCAAATTCAGCACTTCTGTAAGTGTGGAACTGCATTTAGCATATCAGATGAACTTTGTACTGGATGTGCTTCAAAGAGTGAGCTTGGTGTAATAATTTGTTCTGTCTCAAAAAAAAAAAAGCCCCAAAAGACCTTTATTTTCCATTCCAAAGGGCAAGTTGCAGCACCATATCTACTGCATACCTTTCCTCCTACCTTTCCACTGCTCCAGCCTCTGAGGATGCTTTTTGTTTCTCTCACTCGTGATTCTACGTTTTGCAATTTCAAGCTGGAAGAAAACCCTGGAATACTGAAAGCCAACTTTTGCTTAGTTGCTATGAGAAAAAAAGTGAACACTCAGTAGCATGAAGTTCAAGAAAAAATATTTTTACCATCTTTAATTCTCATTTACATAGAGCTCACCAAAAAAACAATGTATGTTTTTCTCCACCCAGTCTGCCAGATGACTTTGATGCAGGGAGGAATATTACCTCAGGCATTTTTTAATTTCCCTTTTCTTAAAGCATATTTGCAAGAAGCAACACGATAGAAAACAACTTGGCTCTCAATTTTTTCTGTACTTTTCATTCCCAAATTTTCAACCCAAGAGGAATTGGTATTATAGTTACAAAAATATCTGAAGTACCAAGGTGTTGTTTGCAGTAGTGAGGAGCTGGGGGGATGTGGCTGGGCCTGCTGCTTGTCTGCACACACACCCCCCCTGGTTAGCAAAGCAAACAGTATCTGCCACTAACAGCATCAAGACTTCCTCGTGACTGTAATAGAGAAACACCAAAGGCATCTACAATGCTGGTCAAACAGAAATTACCCTTTCAGATCCAAGCATCATACACCATCCAGGCTTTGCACACACCAGTCAAGCTTTTAGGCCATTTCAGTGAAACCCAAAGTCTGTGCATGAAGAGCAACTCATTTGTTGTTCAGCATCTCCTGAGTCACCAGAACTCTTTCAAAGGTTCATGCAGCAGCTAAGGTGTCTGCCTCAATTATAAAAAGACAGTCTGCACTGACACTGTGTCATAGTTTCCACTTTATGCAACTACCAGCTAGCTATAATACCTTGATGCCCTAGTGCCTACGCTACTGCTGGTTGCCTCCTTTCTTCCACCAAGAAACTGCTCACTACAGATACAGCAGCACAAAATCTCCCCTGTACCAATTCTGCTTCTAAAGTAGATGCCAGGCTAAGCAATAGTATCTTGCATCAGATGAGTTTGGTTTATTTTTAAACTACTGAAAACAAAAAACCCTACAAAGTAGACAAGTATCACCCTCTTTGAAGTACTACCTAATTCACAACTGTGCACAATTTCAGCCCATAGGTTATTATGCTGAAAACTTTTTAGTTTACAAATTTGGCCATGTAAACAGCTCTGCCACAGGCACATGTTTTCACTGGTCACCGAAAGGCACACTACCTACTCACTGAGACTGAACTCTTGTTGAACCTGCAGATACAAACCTACATAGCTACGTGTCTGATGGTAGCTTCTCCCTCAAGCAGACCCTGAACAATCCTGCAGTTCTTCACCCAGTCTACTGCAGATAACAGATACACAAGACAGGACACAAAAACAACCAGCCATTTTCTACTCTTAGCAACCTTTGCTTTTAATTTAAAGCAAATACCTAAATTGAGGGAAAGTTGATTTTAAGCATGACTACCTTCATTTATCCATACAGCAAGTTACCTGTTAATGATCCTGGTCACACTGTCTTCTCCAGAAGATTCCACTTTGTCTGGACTTGGGCAGTGGCACTGGTATCAGCTGTGCAGACCAGAAACAAGCAAACTGGATCCTCAAGAAGAGCAGATGGATTCATTAACCAGCTGTAGTTCAAAAATCACTTGGCTTCTTTTTCCAGCATTTGCTCACCTGAGAACTTGACAAACTGACTCCCACTTAGTACATTTGAGAGGCTTTTTGGTCAAATGCTTTCCTGGTCTATGCAAATGACTTGTGTGCCACCTAACTGATCAGAAGAATCGGTAACATTACCATTGCTCACCATCAGAGCCTGCCTGTATTTTGCTCACCTTCCAACTACAGGTGGAATGAGAGCAGTTGGCAGCATACACCAGGTTTCAAACTGGCTTTCTTTCAAACAGCACGAAAGAGTTTATCCTCCACAGCTGAAAAATCTGCGTGCAGGTTCAGGAGTATCTCCTAAGGGGCAAATACGAAGCCACGTGCAATTCAGGAAGGAGTCTGTTTGAACAGGTAATCACTGGTTTGTGGCAACAGCGAAACTTGGTATAAAGGGCGTGCATAAATTTGTCGCAGAACGTGCATCTAGTTTTCGCAGACTCATTGTGTACTTCATAAGAGTTATCTACTTTGTGCACATACATGCACGTATATGCACGTGTGCCCTTGTGCAGCATTGCTGAAAGGCACACAGACTGAAAAAAAATAATCTATTAAACCCCCTAGGGAAGCAAGATGATGAAATCATGCTCACTCTCGTGCCCAAAGTCCCCTCTGAGGTATACGATTCCTTGCTTGGGGGAACAGCATCTGGAGGGTGGAAAGAAAAAAAAGACCTAACACTGCTATTACAAGATATTTAACCATCACTGTTTTTTTACACACTGGCAGCTTATGCTGTTCACATTAGACTTATGCTGCACAGGTAAAAACTTGTGGCCCACTCCCTGCCTACAGCACATTTCAGACAGACAACTGGAACCATGGGCTAGCTATGTATGTGAGTCACTTAATCTGCTCTGGTTTGTAAACACTTACCTCAAGGTCTGAGACTACAGGTAGGGACAGCAGTCATTAGGCTCCAAACTGCCAGCTCTACCTTTAGGATTTAACAAAAATTAAAATCTACAAACACAGCACCCATCAGCTGCCTGTGTCTGAAAACAGGAGGGAATTGGGGTCATCCATTCTCCCCTTCTCCCCACCCCCAGCAGTCCCACATCCTCAAGAAAGGCAAACAGAGTAACCCAAAAAAAGGGTCTCGCTGATCTCACTGGGTTACAAACATCCAACATTAGACTAGTCTCTGGAAATCATTATCAGTATTTTGTTTCCTGATCGAGTGTTACCATGCAGCTTCATCACCTGTATTACAGACAGTAGATGTTGCACAAAAGTTGTACTTGCCTTTCAAGATACAACTGGATCCATGCATTAGCATAATTTTATGCCAGTGAATTCAGGCAGACACAACCGTGCATGCAAGTGCAAGCGTACACAGTTTTCTAATCACTTTGCACTACTACTTCCACAGAGAAGTTCTCAGAATAACCTAAAAATAAACATGTTGTCCAGGTATGACTCCCCAGGGGACGCAGGTGCAGCAAGACGTGGCACCTCAAAAAACAACCTTCAGTGACACCATCCTGCATCAGAAAGGCAACTGAGCTCAACTGATGTTGACTCACAACATAATAATCATCATGTATCAAAACAATCAGCAGTACAAAACACACAGTAAGGATGATTAACTCAAGTTGTACTTTTTATTTTCAGGATTAAAAACCTCAATGATATAGGTGCAGAGTAAAGCAGAAACAAACAGATGTCAGCCCAAGTTTATCTGCAGTTCAGATGAGGCATCCTGTTTTCACAAAACTGAATTGGACAGATGGGCAAAGCACAAGCTGCCAAGAGAAAGAAGAAAAACTGCACAACATACAAATTGAGAATTCGTAACTCCTCTTCACCTGGCTCCCTCTGCCCCCTTCTACAGTATAAATAGCACAAATAAAAAAATCCAACTGCAAAATACATTTGACATTTAGAAAAATCGAAGAACCATCAAAACTATTTTGATATAGGATGTACATACCAATACTTTTTTCAGAAGAATACACTGCAGTTTAAGTGAGATATGGAAGTTATCACAGGTCTATCAAAGGGTAAGAGAAGTACTGTTTCAATGAACAACACACAATACAAATAATCGGGAATAGAAAATATGATTACATTCAGCAAACAGTGCTAAAGCTGACATTCCTATTCTAGTCCCTACCATTAAAAGTTAAAGCTTGTTTACTTGGTAAGACTTGTAGAGAAATAAATACACTTACAGAAGTACACGTATTTCTTTAACAAGATAGACGTATTGAATCAGTGGGACTGGGTTTTTTAATACAAAATAGAGACTGATTTAACAACCTAAGTCAAATAGCTAACAGGATTATCATTGAAAGGTATGGCTAAGTATATCACTACACTCTTACCACAGCCCAACATACATGTCCTTAGCATAAAATTTATTTGCTCCTCAGCATATGCTCTGGCTCTTCCAACCATCTGTTGAGTGAAAAACCAAAGCCAGAATAAGAATGTCAGATACAGGAAGAAAAAAAAAACCAAACTTTTTCACTGCTGAAAGGACTAAATCTTGACCCAATTTCAATTTTGAAGTTTTTGGTTCGGTTCTGTTCCTCACATTAGACAATTTCTCTGTGCTTAAACAACCACTGAAAATTTGTCTGAAGTTTTGTCCCAAACAGTGACACCTGACCAAAGAATTTGTTGATTAGGGATCGGTAACAATATGATCAAGTCTAGATGAAAATCTCACTAAAACTGCATATGGGCTTCGTATTTTTGTATTTTGTATATTCAAGTAAACCTTAAGTCACACATTATCTGTCAGACTTCCATGGGTAAACTAATTTTAAATCAAAATGGCCATGTCCTTTCTTTATCTATACAAGTCCTAAACCATGGTCTGCTAGATGATACAGCAATGAACTCTGACACCTGAGACAGGTAAGCAAAGAAAATATTTCCAAAGGCTTAGCCAGATGCGAACACTAGATAACCATCTTGGCAGATGCCCTACTTCTGGTTTGAGCCAAAATCCCTGCTCAGTAGTGCTTCTTCAGCTTTACAGCACAGATGCTTTCTAAAGTCCAACATATTAACTCAGTACCAACACAGCAGAAAACAGCATGTGTCAGGAGCAAAGATACTATTTCTCCATTATTCCTTTCTTCTCCAAAGAGTCTGTTTGGCAGAATAGGGGTCTTTTTGCAGTCAACATTTCTTCTTGGAAGACTCCAAGTCTGACATCTCTCACTGAGCACAGCACCCCTGAAATCTGCCTTGCCAGCACTGTCTCCAGCAGGACCCTCTCCATCACAGCAAAGCACATGCAAGTTGGTATGCCTTCAGCTCCTGAGATAAAACTGGACAGCAGGAATTTGTCTTTTGTCCTCAAAAAAAACCCCAAACAGTATTACAACACCCAGCTCCACAGCTGTTAAATGTATTAGGCCAGTAGTTCCCAAATAAGGAGCTGGGAGATTGTCAGTCAGCAAAATCTAGTAGTAATTCCTCTTTTTCCCCACTTATAAGCACACAGTAAGATGCTAAAACCTCACATATGCTTCCTAATAGATTTCTCCCTGCTGCTTCCCACCAGGAATACATACAGAGGTCTCCTGTGCTTCAGGTATGCCCTTGAATTGCACTTGGCAGCCATCAGCACCAGGGGAACAGACAAACCACCAGTGTGCTCAGCATTCAGTGAGTGCATGTTAAGAGGAGAAGCAAGAGCCATAAAACAACGTTTAAGTAACCTGAATCCGTAATAACCATAGAAGTAATTATTCAAGAATATGGAATTCAACTACTTTGCCTCGAGCAACTACTAGTTTCCTGGCTTTTCCTCTCCTGCCACCTACAAAATGGTCAAGATCTCAGAACAGTTCTTCTGGGGGAGTCTTCCACCTAAACTGTTTAAAAGTGAATCCTACTGCTTGGAGAAGATAGAAGCAAGACAATCACTGTATTCAACAGATGCAGGTCTACATCAAAAGCAAGGAACCCCCAGTCTTCTCTTGCATTCCTGCCACCCTACTTTCCTCAGGCTCATACATACACGACCTTGCAGCAAGCTGTTGGCTGCTCCATACTCTACCCAGCTGCAGCCCACTCAGAGCCCAGACTCTCAGTTAAGTTTCTCAGTACAAGCCGCAGCCACTGTCACTCCCCTGCCAGACCTGCTCCACTCTGCTGCCTGAAACCTGCCTAAACACTGCCACACCTTCAACCTGAGCAGCAGATGCAAAGCTACTGCCCTACTTCCTTGATTCGCCCTTCCTGCCCAGCTCACATTTTCATTTTTATAATGCCAGAAAGGAGAGTCCACAGTCCAAAGTCCAAGTCTAGACGAGCTCTGTTTTGCAAAGCATGAGGGAATCTAGGTACATTGTGGTGCTGTACCAGAAAGATAAGCCTATTATGCAGGTAGTTTTTAGGTACCCTAAAACCAAATCTAAACATCAGCATCAAGGTTTCCCAGAGTATCCAAAGGAGATACCCTGTTGCAGGCAACTGTATCTGCCAATTGCCCAACTCACTATTGAGACTGTCAGGTTCCTGAGAAAGGGGTAACACCAAGCACTACTCTGAAATGACACGTAAGTCTCTTCAGACAGGCCAACCTTACAAAAGTGGCTTCCTCACCACACACATTTAATCATTAATCCTAAAGCTATTTTCCATTTCTTCCCCCTCTGCTAACACTCTTAACAACTAGCATGCCTTTGTCCCATTTCAAGAGGCAAGAGCTAACAGCAAATATGTTAAGAGAAACTTCTGAGCTTATCCTTAAAGATATCTAACCAAAGCCCTGAGTTACAACCATCACATCTTTATTCAAATAAATACAACAGAAGGACTAAGTCATTACTCTTTACGCACAAATATAAATACCGGTTAAGCCCGATAAATCTCTTTTGAGGTAGATGTATACAGTACAAAATATATTAAGGATCGAATGCAAACATCCTACTCACTTTACCTTCTCACCTTGTCCTCCATGGAAACTTTACAAACATATTATTTCTGCCCCATCAGCATTCAAACAAACTTTTCTGAGTTCTGAGCTCTAACACAATTCACAGTTAAAAGACCACTGAAACCAAACACATACATTTAACACTATTATGGAGTTTCAGTCAGGCCCATGAGAAAAGTACATTGAGACAAAATTCAGCTACAGAAAATCCAAGTATTTTACATAACTGCAAACAAAATAGTGCTGCTGAAAACAGGTTCCAACAGTTTAATCAACAAGAAAAAAAAAACCAAAAATAATAAAAACTGCCTGCTGGGGTTTTCAAAGGAGGTTTTAAACTAGAAATTTGAGCTTTAGCTCCCAAAAAACTGATTTTCATGACCTGCACCCCATCACTGAAACAGAGGAATGGAGAAAGACAGCTTGAGAGACAGGCACCCCCCACCCCCAACTCCCTTAGAGGATTCAGTTAAAAAAAAATTCAAGGAACTCTAATGAAAACCATGCAAACAGATAAATCAGATTACACTCCACACAGAACTCAGCCAAGGTTCACATGGAAGGTTTGCAAACCTTTAAACTTGTCCTGATTTCAGAGTTTGTGACAAGCAAACAAAGAGCTTCTGGGTTTTTGTTCTGGGCTGTCAGACCATGATGGCAGACACAGGATACATAACAAAACAAATAACCAATCTGAAGATTCCCTTTTCTTTTGAGTAAAATAACTGTAAAGATGATACATTCTATTATAAATAGCTTCGAGATTAACACAAATTCATAATTACCAAACAATTTGTGCACCAACAGTTGCTTTAGGAAGATGACCGAGCACAGAAGTATATGCTAATCAGTCACTTTTGCTTTTTTTTAACCCAAGACAAATCAGACTGTAGGACTGCTATCAGATAGTCAATTAAGTTCTGATAAGTACCAACATGTGACTGCATTGGCTCAAGCACACATGGTCACATTTTGTTGTGAATCAACACAAAAATGTGTATGACTACAGAAAGTCCCAGCAGTGATGCCTGCCTGGGATTCTGTGACTATTGCTTGCTTTGTCACTAGTGGGTACAGGCTGGAGAAATTTCTCCCCCATAGCTGTGGCTGACTACAAGCACAACTTTTGGGTCCAATTTCAGAATTCACTTTCACATTGCAAAGCAGAGATTAAATATTTGGGTTCTGAGCAGTCCATCAGCTGCAGTTCTTTGAATACCAAGCAAACTCCCACACAGACCACCTCCTTTCCAGAGAAAGGTTGTCTGGGTGTGAGACCTTCCCCAAAGAAGACTCAAGGGATGGGAAAAAATCAAGTGCCCAGCAAGCAAAAGAGAAAGGTTGCACTGTGGTTTCTCAAATGTCTGATAACAGGAATTCAGACTTGTAAATTATGATCCTCATAATTTGAAGACTGAAATATTCTCCAAATTAATGCCAAAAGAAACACACTTAAACATGGTTGCAATAAATGTATTAAAGTATTAAAGTAAAATAAAAAGGTCCAGAACAACAGTTTGGACTTTGAAGAGGCTGAGCGTGCCAAGCCTTTGCCTGTCAGGCCCAAAGGAGAGCTCAGATATTCACCGCAGTGTAACAGCTTCCCCCTGAACAACAGCAATATTGTTTCTTCAAGTAAGTCAGAGGTAGTGTCTAAAACAGCATAATGAATACAGCAGCAGCCTCCAGCTGAGCCCAGCTATGCCTGAGGAGGCCCAAGAACAATACCATCTCTGCCGGCCTGGTCACACTGCTAACGGATCAGCAGCCATCCTTGGTTTGATCCAGCCCTGCTGTTGGGAAACGAGCAGGATGCACACGCAAGGGCACGGTGAGTCCTGTCACCAGGGAGACATGCAACATAATCGGGTACATCTGCTCCAGAGGGCAGCCGCTTGTTGGCAGGCAGACACCGCGTGGATGTGTGCGTAACTTGGGCAAACACGCAACCACAGACAGACACGCAGCAGCACTGACAGCCCTTCCCCTTCCACTCAGATCCACACATCACTGGGAGAAGGGACCTGCCTGTAGGTGATGTTGAATCATCCTTCCGCTAGAATTTTTTTTTTAAATAACCAGAGATTACAAAATGGGTTTCACTTAAATAAAAGGTTCAGTGTAGTTTGAAGATGTCCACCGAGGAGCACAAGTGGGACACAGCAATCAGGATGCAGTTGCACTTTCATCCTCTTCTAAAAGAAGGTCGTTTAATGCAATAACTGTAGCAGCAAAGTCATCCAGCTCCACAAAGTCTGATGTAATTATGTTAACACCTCTAACACCTGGTTTCTGTGCTTTCACCCAATCTAAAATCATGGGCAGGTTCCTAAAGAAAGGGAAATAAAGAAAATCAAATATTTTGAGAGACTCTTCCCTATACACACTCTACTTAAGTTAAATAAAACATGCTGTTTGCCAATTATTATCTCACATTTGTGATCAGGTCCTGACTGCCACCCAAAATACAGCTAGTCTGATGAGGAAAGTGCTTATCGTAATGTGGTCATTAGCTATCAAATAGAAATACCAGTCCATCATCAATCCAAACTACCACACATACCAAGTAACATTTGTAAACTCTGCATTCACCCAGTAGACTTAATGCTGCACTACAACTTCATCCATCCTGGTACGGTTTTGCCCAAGAACATATTGAACCAAAAACTTAATTTCACAGCAGACTTCAGAGTAGCACAAGGCAAGGCTACACCTGGCCCGAGATGTTTCCCTGCCCACCTATGCCTTATGGTGAGCAGAAAAGAAGTAGTTGGGGGCAGCCCACCGCATTTCTACCAAACTCCTTCCAGCCTCCAGAGCCACCCAGAACACCAGGATCACGGAAACCAAACCCAGAACCAAGCCCTCAGCTCTGTAAGGGTAGAGCAACCCAAACATCACTGTAACCAGAGAAAGGTAAGGCGTGTCAGGAATTCAGTTAAATGGAGTTTGAAATTCTACAGCAGGGAGAAGTTTCAGTCATTTCTTGGCCAGAGTGTAAGTCAGGAGTCTGCCCAAGACTTTTTTGTACTCTAATATGCAAACTCCAGGGTTTTCAGCACAGTTAAGAGACAAATGATTAAATATATTAGATTTAAATTAGTGCCATAATAGACATACAAAATTATATGTGGACAAATTGGCTAACAGGATGGGGAAGAAAAAAACAGAAAATCTAGAGACCTCACAGCTCTTGTTCCAGGAAAAAAAAATCATGAGAAGAGAGAACTTGAGTAAAGGCATAATGACTGTCCCTGTCAAGGGACAAACTAGACCTCAGGCAGCTAACTGTGAATGTTGCACATTTCTCCTTTAGCAAGAGCTCAAGAACACTTAAAATATTCACATTCAGGGAAAAATTTCCACATGAGAGGGTAGATGTCTACACAGAACCACAAAGACAGATTTACACATACAAATGAGCTAGCAGGTGTAAATGTATACAAGCAACCATGCTTTAGCAAATGGTGGCATCTATTTTAAATTTTCACAGTTTACTTTCAAACAAGTGGTAATGATAGGGCCACAGGAAAGGGATGCAGTGAAGGCAGGCTTCCAGCCTATCAGTGGTTTATAGTCCAGGCCTCTACAGGAGTCACTTGAAAGTAAACTGCTTGCCCATACCATGAAATTAGATGATTCTTCACTAGTTTAAATTCAGTATGATATTTCCTTTAATCACGAGATAATAGTACATTCAATAGACAGTAGGCAGATGTGTCACATCCATGCTTTGTGTTCGGTATCCCTATGAACCACACCTATTTACATTTGTGCAATTTCTGACAGTAAATGCCAGCCTTAAAGCACCTGAGCACCATCTAGTGTCCAATGCTGACCGCACAGACATGGGCAAAGAGCAAGCCAGAACTGAGACCTCAATATATTGAGGCAGACATCGTTTAGTTTTAAATATCTTTTGTTATATTAATGTCTATAAACAGGAAGGAGACTGAAAATTCCATGATTTATATTTCACCTGGAGTTTCCTTACTTCTATCAACAGCTTCTGTGACTGAAAAAGCACAACACTTACTCTTTTTATAAAGGATTTCTAAAAAAGTGATCCTGACTTTGGCTTCAAAATATTAGTACTGTAATTACTCCTAAAGTGACTAGTAATCCTCCCAAAGGGAACATGAACTGGCTGCTGAAGATGTGTTTATCTCATTGTTTAATATTAAGCTCAGTTGCTGATCAAATTAGACCAGTTGTGACCATGTATACAAGATTAATTTAGAATTTAATATTATTATAACAAGATAAACTGTTAGTGACATCAAAACTGGCAATATTAAACAGTGAGCCAGGAGACCAGATCCCACCAGGACTGTTACAGTTCTTCCAATTTTTAGCAAACAGGCTACTAGGTGATAATGCTATAAAACTAAGTCACATGGATCCCACCCTGGTCACATTGCTAACACTATTAAAAAAAGGTCACTATCACTGTGCGCTTCTCAAAGCAAAACCCTCTTCTAACGATCTTACTCACAGGCCAATTAATTGTACACCAGTCAATGGTATGAAAATGTCAAATTGTTAATCTAACTTTTGGTAAAAATACCCAAGATAAAATACTGCCCCATGTCATACATCTTTGACCATCACTGAAATTAACGATATTTGTACAGACAAATGCAAATATGGCCACAAATACACAAATTTCTCTGCAGCACAACCTTTTTTTTTCTCCCTAAATTAAGTTCAGCCAATTTGGAATGAATTACTGATTTGAAACAACAGGTCCAGCCCATGTCTTATGAAGTCATATCACATTCACAAAGAGCTTCAATTATGAGAAAACACACTTATACTGTTTAACATATATACCCTGTTATTTCATTATTTTCAGTAAGTACTTTTAATGACTGCAAATATCTCTCACAAGCAATAGTAATGAAACAAAACTGCATACTTTCATCAAATCTTATTTCTAAGTAAATATTTCACATTCTTGCTTACTCAGTGAGTCTTTCAACATGAAACACATAAGTAAAGAACTAGGAAATCAAGACCTTACCTATGAACAAGTGTGTTCTTCAGACCACGGGTTAGATGCCGTGCAATAGTATTCACTCGAGGTGTAAGAATTGCTTGAGAAACATGAAAAGTCCCGTAACGACTTCGTTCCTCAAGAGTGGTCTCCAAGAACTGTAACAGTTCATGCACGTTGGTTGTATTAGCCCATGGTGCTGGCATTTTATACCCTGGCCACAGGAAGGGGTATTCCCGATACAAAGGGTAGTGGTAGAATATAAGAACCTAACAGAACAAAGAAAAAGGAGAAAAAAATCACCCCCAAAAAATCACAACTCTGTTATTTATCATGAAACAGAATATTGCATTGGTTTATGCTTATGCAGCACTGCTGCAGCTAGCATAGCAGCTAGTTAAAAGAGGACCAAGCGTAAAGAAGCTGTTCCTAAGTCACAAGTGTCAGTAAATTTGTTGCACTATTGCCAGCAAAGGAGATGGAGATCATCTTGGTTAGCTATGTGGACAGGATTGCTTCAGGCTCTAAGGGTCATCAGTTTAAAGTGAAAAAGTTGCCAGGAGTATACTGAAATGTCATTCAAAGCATTCAACTTAAGAGCATTTCAAAGCACCATCAGAAAACATTACCATCTACATGAAGCTAAGGATTTTACCTGTCTTGCCATCTTCTGCGTAACTCCTATTAAGTGCCTAAAGCATACCGAGGGATCTAGATACCTTAGTCGTGTTCAAACTTACATGCTTCACTCTGGCCAAAAGGATGATGATTTATCAAATCCTCATAACCACAGGCTAGCACAACATACTCATCCAGAGAAGAAAACCATTGGTAAGGAGCACAGGGCCCTGGGGATATTATTACTATCCTTATTATTTAAGGAACATTCTTGGGAGCAAAACACAGTCTAAGCACACCATGGATGGAGGCTACAGAGCTGCAAATAAACGAAGGGAAACATGCACACTACATAAAGGAGGCCCTGGTGGGCTTTAAATTAGCCTGTCACCAGTGTCCTTGGGCCAAGACCTCCGAGTGGGAACCACACTCAGCCTCTAAATCTTAACCTTTTGGGTTTGAAAAACATTACACATCCTTTCCCTACCTGGTGTTTCTTCTCCCACATGTACTGTAATGTCACATATTCTACACATTCAGCTGAACAAAGTTTGGATCCAAAGGCTGAGCGGATCCTACTGATCAGGAAGAAGTGATGGCTGTCATCCATGGCATAGAAGTGATTGAAGTCCAAGAAGACTACTTCCTTAGGGTGCTGCTCAAGAAAGGTGTTAATCTCCTTCAGCCCATCCCATACTTTGATGCCAAACAAGCCATGTATGAAGTAAATCTCTTGTCCTATTTCCTCAGGTTTGGAAGATACACGAAGATCAAAGTAGCGGATCCCACCTTCCAACTGCTCTTTGAAAGTCAGATTTTGAGTCACTGACCATTTCTTCATGATCTTTTTAACCAAGGAAATTCTGGCCAAACGTTTGATGGCTGTGGCTTGGTCTGGTCCCACAGGAGATTTCTCATCAACCCAGTAGCTGAAAGAATCATGTGACCCTAGAAACAAAAGCCAAGAATATTTAATTTTAGAAAACTGACTCCCCCAAAACACACATGCCCATGTGCCCTGTAAACTGAAAAGAGTCCTACATGAACAGGAGAGTTGCAGAAGAATTATGCTCAAGTGTGGGTCTTTCAGACTATCCTTTACACTTTAGTTTTCCCTGAATATACAACAAGACTTATGCTTAATGTTCTCACTTTGAACTGTTTTCTTGTGTGAGCTCAAGTTCAGTATGCTCTGAAAATCACAACCATAAGACAAGCATCAGCTTGTCAGAAAAGGAAACTTTCTTCTAACCTTGCTTCATTTATAAACTATCAGTCTACCTTCAAAGATTATCCAGAGCCTGGTACATCACTGATTTGATATGAGATTCCAGCTTCATTCAAAGAATCTGAGGGTTTATTTTCATTCTACCCGATAAACCTAATCGTGACTTAATACACAAAAGTTCTTGGAACAGATATCATTATACACGTGATGGACAGAGGGATCTACACATGCACATGCCTTACCAGCACATCTCACTTTAGCCCCTAGATGGTAAATAAATGATGAGTTTGAACAGTGGGCAACAACTGCCTGAACTTAGAGGCAGAACAACTGAGTACACCACCACTTACTGCGTGGTTCAATACCAAGCTCATGTTCAACAAGTTCATAAATGTGTCTCACCTGGCAGTCAGTGCCTCTGAGTGACCACAGATACGGTAAGTATAAAATTCACCAAAAAAGGTGACCAACAATCAAAATCGCCAGTCCCTGTCAAAATAATGCACATCCAAAATGTAGGCTCCTGTAACACAACTTGCACCTTGGCAGACAAACTGCATCTCCAGTATAAAATTTGTGCCTACTAGAAAAAACCTCCAACTGAAAATTGAGTAGTAATTGGCAACAAAACTGAGAAATAATAAAACTCTTTCAAAATAACAGCTTCAGAGTCCATGAAAGATCCCTGGCTGAGCCAAGTCAATAACAGAACAAAGAGTAATAGGACAGGGAATCTCAGTTTGCACTGTACCAGGGCAGCATAAAGCAAAGATGGGCGAAGCTGTTTGTAGCACTGACTGAGGCTGACCAGGGACTGCGAATCACTTACACCAGGCACTGGCATTTTGGCCAAGAAGATGCAAGCACTCCAGGCATGACTTCCCTGTGAAGCGCCAGCCAGGAAAAACACCACAGGAGCTCCAACAGCCCTGCTTCCCTTTTTTCTTCAGGACAGCTGATAAGTTTCCCACTGAGCCAAAGCCCACCTGCTTCCTGCACAGCCACTCCGCTGAAGTACAGGGAAAACAGCTTCACTCCCAGTCACCACCAGAAGCTCCTTTTCCAGCTGCCTCAGGAGTACAGTGACCCTGCACCATGCTGCCAGCATCCACATTTTCCCTTCCTGCCTGCCCCAGGGTTCTTGTCCCTGCTTCTGGAACTATGCCTTTCTAGAATTTCCTCCTCTATCTCAGCCAGCACTCTGTTAAAAAAATACCCCAATTTGTCATTTCCAATTTTAAGACAACATCTAAGGCATCCACAGCCTCCGTTACCCAAACCTTTTATTTGTGTATTTATTGTGCTCACTTAAAGACTGATGCATTTCTTGTGATGTAAAATCAGAGCTATAAACAAGATTATGATCTCAATTAGATTACCTTGTCAGGATTTTTTAATCCAGATGCAGGTACAGACTGTGTGCAAGCCAAACATTGGTTCACAACAACCTTAAACGCACTCTTTCTCCACATATGTTCAGAAGTACTGCAAAGGAACTGTGAACGTTAGCTTACAGGCTTTACAAACACTAAAAACTAATTCTGATCAACCCTTCATGAATTCTTCGCAGTCCTTGTAAAAGCATGCCTCTTAGGTGGCTTTCCATTCAGTCTTCTAGAAACAAGTGACAAGTAGCAAAAAAGCAGTTTTCAAAAGATGCCAGCTTACAAAACTATTTAGTACCTGTCACAGTAAACTACATCAAAACGCAGTCAGTTTTGGATGATACCTAGGTTTTTCCCACCTTCAAATGCATAACCCCAAACAAAAGACAGGATCAAACATCTAGCAAAGTCATTTCAGAAGCAGCCCTGTAAGGCCTGGCTCATACTGCAAGCAGATGTTTCAGTTTCCTACACTTCCCTGTACGGCAGAATGAGCCTTTCAAGCTTCTACAATATTTGGAAAGGAGACTTCAATCGCGAGCTTATTTTCTGCCTCTGCGTAAGTCAATTTGTACAAAGAAGTCATGGGGGGTTTTGTTTTTCTTTGTGTGTGTGTGTTTAGGTTAAGTTCCCAATTGCATCAATTTCTTCCTCTATTTAGGTCACTGTAGAAAATTGTTTAACATGCTACAATAAGGACATAAGAAACATTTTCTTTTCATTTTAACTAAGACTGTGCAGCAGCTTCAAGAGAGTTATCTACAGAAGTCACTCGCACCATTATGTTCCCTCAGACAGTGACACTAATAAATCTGACTTATGAAGGAATGACAATTTTGTCTGGCATCAAATATATTTTCAACTCCGAGTTGTCTAAGCAAATCTGAGCCAAGAAACAGCTTGTTTTCCTAAGTCTAATCATACTTTATAGCTGCAAAAGCCTTTCCCTTTGCAGACTGCCACATACAAGGCACATTTAAGGATACAAAGAACAAATTTCTCCTTGCACTATCACAAACCAAATTTTATTTATAGTCCTAGAAAGCAACAAGAAAAGTAACAAGCACATTGCAACTTTTTCAACACATACTTTAAGAACTGCTCTCCTTAATAGGGCAGCTGCTATTTGAGAAACTGAACTATATGTGAGACTAATCTATAGTTTGAAAAGATCCTTAAAACTCCAGCCCTGTGACTCTGCTTAAAAGCCTAGCAAAATGAGCTTCTCAGCTGCAGTGAAGTCAACATGTGTACCTAGATATAACCAAGGAGAACACGAACTGGAACATCTACAAAACAAGCTCTCGCTTTCACAGTTGGTAGAAGACCACCTCCTAAAGACGACAGAGGAATTTCATCAGTATCAAGGCTAGAAAGACAGAACAGAAGTTAAATTCAGTGGTCATTTAACAGAAGGCCAGCCACCAATTGTGAGAAATATCTAGGCCAAACCTGGACCCAGAACTTTTTTCACTCTAGTGAGAGAAAAAAGCAAATGGAAAACCTGAAGCAACAGCACTGGATACTTGTCAGACTGAGGGGCAAGAGCTAGGTGAGGATCCACGTCATCCACCAGGTCCTTCTTTAATTTAAGATCACTGTTACATTACCAGCTCAGCCACTGGCTTTTAATATAGCTTAGCTGTGATGTTAATCTACATGCTAAGCCGATTGCATCATGATGTCAAAATAATCCCTGCTCTCCTTCACTCTACCCCTAAACTCCATGAAAGGCCTAGCCATTATGTAGCTATGGCAGGAGCCAGGCTGGTTGCTGATACAGCATAATTTCTTTCTGAAAAAGCGTAACTAAACCAAACCAACTCCGTACAATTTAAAAGGCAAAGGCCATCGCCTACACCAGAAGTATGGAAGCCCCATTCTGTTAGCAGCTCAGTGTTTGACCTGCTAACCACATTCTCAATTGACGTCTAACACAAGGATGTGTTAAGATATTCAGATCCTGTAACACCGTACAGTAACAACACTAGGGCTGGCAGTTCCTGAACAGAGCAAGCATCACACAACTCTCATGGCAACATACACAGAAAAGTCTTTTCTATGTTTAAGAAACCCCTTCTGATCTGTGTTCCCCACCACCAAAATGGCATGTATCTCCCCAAATTACACTAACCACTTTTCTCAGGGGAAAAAAAAAAAGCTCAGGAAGTCTTGTCAGCAAGACATTTCAGATGATACCTGAAATCTTAAACAAATAACATGCTACATAAATTCATTCCTTAAACCTGTTGATTGTGAACAAAGGAACTAATGAACCTATGTAATTAGAACCTCCATCTTGCAGACTGAGAAATCAAAAGGCACAGAAAAGCCAGGAAATTTTGTCCTCCTTGTCCTTCAGGCAAACAGAGGCCAGAACCCCACGCTGAACTGCCTCAAGGGCATGTTCCTGCACATGCAGCACACTTCTTGAGTCACTGTACCTGAAAACGGATTAGCATTCAGATTGCAAACCTTACTGAGCTGCTCCAGTGACATGGGATCAGTCTGGGGCTCAGCCCTTCCTGAAACCAAACCAGACACAGGGAATAAGAGATGATGATTTGCTAATAGCTTCCAATGTTTGTAGCATGAAACAGTAAATATTAAAGTCAAGCATGAAAGAGTCTGCACATTCAAAGAAAAAAATTAGGGGACTGCTAATCAGCTGGCAATTCTTACAGAGTAACAGACAATAGCTGCTCTATTTTGGTTTCATTTCTTTCATCTGACAAAGACTGGAAGCTTCAAGGAAAGCAGTCACATGCCATCAAATGCCCAGATATTTAACTATCAAAGGCTACGATATGGTTAGAATAGTATTAAAGAGGTATCTTCCAGACACCAGATTGTTAAAATGACGAATAGTCTTCTTAATTTTATCCCAGTAAGTGCAACCATGGATTAATTTTTATTCATATCTTTAAACCTCTTTTTATTCTCCTTACACTAATTTCCCAAGTTAATTGTATGTTAAACAGATGACTTCTCAATTCAATTTGTATGTTAAATAGATTGTATTTCACTATTCAGGGTGATTTTTTTCGTTGAAGCCTTTGTGCTAATTGTTAGAAAGCAGCCTTTTATCATCACATCTGCAGCAGAGTCTAACTTTCCAGTGTGTCTATTTGTCATGCTACTTAGTCACAGATAGTCAAATTAACCCATGGTGTAGCTCAAACAAATGACACTCATCAACAGAATGTTATTAAGCCTTGAATTCCAACAATTACTAGCTACATCACTTTGTATTATCTTTTGTTTCCACACCAGTACTTTCTGCATGTACAGCTGCAGCACAGGGAGAGGAATGAGCATCATCTCACCAATTCCAGTGTCCTTTTGGGAGATTGTAAATTTACCTTCAAAGGACGGTAAAAATACAACTACATGTCATGCAAAGCGCAGAGATCATCTAACACAGAAAATACTTGTGCACTGCCAATTACTTGAAAACAAGACAAGAACTCTTTTTTTGATACAAGCATGTGTACTACTGTTTTGCTAGTCTCCCTGGTTGCTAAGCTGTGGACTAGTCAGAAGCAGAAGTTAAAGACACCTTCTGAAAAGATTTGGCTACTCAAGAAACAATAAATTAAAGCAGAAAGGCAGGAGACTGCACCGTCAGTAAATTTAACTAGATCAGAATAATTTGGTTTCATCTTCACATTATGGAATATTAATGGCATGAAAAAATGCAAAAATACCTCCTGTGTTATGTTAAACATTTGTAAGAAGCAAAATCAACATTCTGTATCAACCCCCTAAAAGCATTAAAGGGTTATTTATGGACAAAGAAGCACTCTAGCTGTAGTGATGCCAAAGTCCTTTACTCACTAGACAAAGTACATTCCCCATATATTACAAAACACCACACATGACATAGCACAGCAAGTATTACATAGCCAAGACATCTAGAAGCATAGTAATCAAGTTCCAAAACACAGGATGCAAGTGCTAGCAAGTTCAGGCTGTCCCACAAATGTTCTTCTAAACCAAATGTCCGGTGTATGCCAGAACTGAGGGGAAAACAGGGATAAACAGAAGTGCCTCTCAAAGCCCAGAAGCCCTGAGGATTCAGGTCATTATCAATCCAGATTTTCTAATCAAAAGATTAACATCTTAAAAGCTCTTCACTAATGAAAAGCAAATCGAACCGTACATATTAATTTTCCCAGCAAAAAGAAGAGAGGCAAGAATAACAAACATCCTATTGATAATTATCTAGAACTGTCAAGGCAAGTATTTATATTTTAATAGAATCGTAAAAGAATCCTTTAGGTATTCTTAATGCAGTCTCATTAGGGAGGACAAAGCCTAGTACAGACTAAATCCTCTTAGGAAGGCTTCTTCTCCCTATCGAAGTACTACCCTGATTTTCCCCACTGCCCCTTTCAGAGTGGGAGATGGAGTGGGAGGGAATAAAAGGGGTACAAAGTGAAAGGAAGAAAGGGGCTGCTTAAAACTTGGACACAATTATCACATGCTAGCTTGCTTTTCTTTTGGGCTAGGAGAAATCTGTTTGGCATTGGTTGGAGTTATTGCCATTAAAGTTTTTGGTGATTTTGCAGTGACTTCCCATTTATCAGCAACCTCAGCTGTCTGCATTGGTAAACTGGCAGTACTTCTCTAACATTTCAATACCTGAATGGATCCACCTGCTCTGAAAAGAAAAAGCCTTCAGAGTCCTATATTCCTATTTTGTGACCGCTATGAAATGTGTTGATGAAGGGCTCATTCTCTTTTGAGAAGGCTCTAGGGAAATTTTTTCTTGTTTTCATTACACAATACCTTTCCCTCTTACTAGACTTTTTCTGGAAGAGCAGGCAAACTGGAACTTCCACACAACACCGAAGGAGAGCAACAACCATTTATATCAACATTATGATAGGTTTTCTCTGAAGCAAAACTAGCATGTTCTGCACTCATTTACCAGGCAGTGAAGTCACTCTCTAGGGCACAGAGATTTTAATTAAAAAAAAAGGAAGAAAGCTTTTCCTGATGAAAAAACAAAGATCTTCATATGCTGTCTTAATAAAACATTGTGGCATTTCCAGAACAAGTCCATTTTAGCTAAACAGATGACAGTGGTCCTTGAAAAAGGAGAAACTCTAAGATCTGAGGCTGGCTCTTCATTGGAATTCCTGCACAGAACCAGTACAGTTATTTTGCTACCTGTCACACCAGTTCCTCACATAGGGGTTATGTAAAGGGAGTACTCTGTTACTTGGGAATAGTGGAACAACTTCCATTAGGTATTTTCATCAGCATAGCAGTGCAGGTAGTTTAATAGCCCCTCTCTAGCAAGAGTTGAGATTTGCTGCTGCAATTAAGTAGACAACAAAAGTAATAAAATAACTTGTCCTTTCAGGAAAAGTTCATCCTGAAAATTCTTCATTTACAAATCATATCCAACATCATCATACTTATGCAGATGTTTTCTTCTGATGGTTATTACCTCATTGATTGGTAGATGCCAATTAAATTGTTATGGAAAGAAAGCTTAGTGAATCAGAACATTAACCTTACGTATTTTTTCCCTTTGAGCTTTAATCCAACAGATGGCCAGTTTAGCTCATTCAATGATCCTTTTAATTAGGACTCCAAAGGAGTACTGTTGATGGAGGATGCAGTCTCAAGCTCACCACTGCTTCTCCCCTCAGGAGCCACATCCATAGCACACACCAGCCCATGAACAAAGAAAATCCCAGCGTAGGAAGTTCAGCAGCTTGCCTCAGGGTCATGCAGGAAAAGAGAAAACAGATCAAATCTAATAAGATCATAACAGCCAGTTCTTAACTGGACAGGGCTGCTGCTTCTTTTAAGAACCATTTCAGTTCTGCTTGGCCAACTGAATGGCAAGCAGTCCACAGGGCTTTTGGTGAACAGTCGCCCTGTTGGGACAGCAGAGCTGGCTGGAACCGGTGGGTGGGGAGATACGCAGGAGATGCCCAGGGCCCCACCACCCCAGGTGTCTTTCCCCCC